GAGTTGCATCACTAACGGGCGTATCTGTTAACCCCACGTGCACGAGCAAAAAGCCCGTTATCTCCGATTTACCTCCTTTGCAAACACGGCCAGTGTGGTCATTTAAAATGCCAATTACTCACCGGTTGGGGATGGGATGCACTAAACCTTTGCTTTATTACAGAGCAGCTTCACAAAGGCAGAGGCTAACAGGCCACAGACTCTGAGCAGGATTCCTCGTATCAGGTTTATATATATGGTGTAAACACGAAGCCCTATAAGTGCTCGGGATGCATTTTTGAGTGAAGGGAGCCATATGTTACTCTGTGGCCGTGGGAGTACTCCCCTCAGTTTTTTTTTTTTTACAATAGCTCCGTGCTTCAAGCCGTTAGCCCAATTTGCTGTTAACAAGATAAATTGGAGAACAGACAAAGGCATTAAGTGTTGCAGTGCCAGCCAGTGACTGACAGCAGCTTGTGGGAATTGGAAGCAGAAATTCCTCCTAAGTGGTTTGTTCGGAAAACATCCTTCGATCAAGGCAGATGTTGTTTGTCCAGTTTAAGCAGAAAAAAGGAAGTTCGTTTGGAATGGAAAAAAAAAAGCAACGGCGAGGAAGGGGCAGAAAATACGAGGGCTTCCACTCGGGCTTTATCACATTTTCTCTCAAAAGGAGAACGAGACATCTACTGGATTTAAATCCAAGAGACGGGTTTTTAATTGTCGTTATCTTCACGTTTTCCCTTTACTTGATGTCTGAATCGCGTGTCTCGTGATGCTCGCACGTAGAAGTGAACTGGTGTGGGTTTTGCTCTGACCGATACCGACCTTTACAGATCACAGACACAACACGCTGATTCATGCATTTACTTCTTATCCAGTATGCTTTTTTATTCATCAGCATAACATCAAAAATGTACTTAATAACACTGATTAACACTTGAATGCTCCAATGATGGAACCATTTTCCTGCTAAGAAATGAGCAGCATTACATTTATTTTCTGCTCATTAATCGGCCAAACATGCACAAATAGATCAATAAAAGTTTTTTTTTATTATAAAGAGGCAAAAAAAAAAAAAATAAACCAGTTTATCAGTTGGGTACATCGCATCACTTATTCCATCTTTACACCAGGTGTAAATAATCCTGGGAGGCAGAGAAGCACCTAAAGCACTGCTGAGTGTTTCTAGTGAGTCCTGTTGTCCTGATAGAAGAACCGGCACGTGAAAACCTCCCTCTTGGCCCCGATGGCAACGCTTAGCTTCACTTGAATGTTTTTGTTGCTTTACAGAGTTTTTAGTGAGTTAGAAGTGAAAAGCTTCTGATTAACAGATTGTGTTAGTTTGCTCTTCTGTGGAGCTCATCGCGAGAACCAGAAACGTACTAAGGAATGTCATCATTAGCGGTCATTAACTGTGTATATTTCCTCCGTGCTGAGTCTCTGGATTCGTGTCAGCGAGGCAAATAGTTTGTTTTGATCAAATCCAGCCATGAAAATGTTTTCTGCTATCTTGTGAGAAAAGCAAACTTCCACGTTGTTGCGGAGCTTGCAGTTTTCCAACTTGCGGGAGCACCCCGTAGAGACACTCTTTAACCACTTTCTGCTCATCAGCTAGTTTTGTTTTCTTCTAAAGAGGATCTAGTCAGGTGACGTTAGCGGGATCCATCATGCACGGTGGTTACCGCGGGTGACAGGTTAAGATAGTGAGCGGTTTGTTTCGTTTGGGTGCGCCGACTGGGTTGATAAGAACCGAGGCTCTGGTGCCCCCCCCCCCCCCGGCACAATGATCTCCCTCCTCGGTGCCATGCTCTCCTGTGTGGACAAAAACGAGCTGCCCTGATGGGTCTCAAGGCAACGCGGCCGTGCAGCGTCGCACCTCTCCACGGCGAGCGCTCATTCACCTCGCCTTCCCTCTGAGACCTGCACCAGTTTCTAGGCAAATGACACAATTTGATACGCCGTTGGTGTGAATCATGTGGATAATGTTTCCCCGTGATCATCACAGCAGAAAAGCAACTTTCTTATTCAAATTTTTTTCCTTTTCACTCATTAAGTCTGACAATAACTGGAATATTGGGAGAGTTTATTGCAAGGAGCTAAAACTCATTATTTTTGCCAAGTACAAAGGAAATGATGGTATTTTGTCCATGCAGGTCCCTACAGAAGTAATGATTTACCGAGGAAAACAAGGAGGAGACTTTATGGCTGAGATTGTTCATTTGTGTGGATTTAAAGGATAAGAGTGTGAAGCTAGCTTGCAGTTAGTACAGTAGCACCGTGGGGCTGCTATTGATTTCACTGAGCAGGTACGGTTTGTTGCTTTAGGGTAAAAGCCGTGTGCTTTGGATTATTGCAATGATATACATTCCCACTATAGTTTATATCTGGGTAATTTATATCCTTAGCTGTTATGTCAACACATAATCTGTGTCCATACAACGTCCTGAAGATTTAAGTGAAGACATCCATCTTGCAGTAGTTGACCTACATGTGTAGTCAAAGGGTGTGTGTGTGTTGGCCATATGGTTTGAAACTTCTCAGAGACAATCATAGCCGGATCGGGTTAACCTAGCCGGAGATGCTTTAGAACGAGGTCGACACATCATGTTTTTCCTTTTTCAAAAGCTCCCTGGCTTTTTGTAGAAAAGAAAAAAAAAATCATTCCGCTCAGATTTCAGTGTTGGAGAACAGCTGAGATTAATTTACTGGAGATGCACCGATTCTAGTTTTCAGGGCCGATACCAGGTTCTGATTTTTGTACAGCTCTGATCGGTTAATACCGATTTGGGCCAATTCTGATTTATTACAAATAAGTATTGACAGAATAGTTTTAAAATGAAACTGTGATTAACTTGAAAACGATGAGTTTGGATGTAAAAATGTCCACATGGATGATCTATTATTGGTGCTGTGATTCAACTCTTAGTAAAGTTATGTTCACAGACTGGAACCAATTTTTCTATTTGATAGTGGAAATAAAATGAAAATCAGATTTTTTTTACTTTCACATCGATCACAGACTAAATGTATAACAGTCATGACCGGCCATTTTCATTCACTGTGACATTAAAAGCATCTCTTAACAATTTGTATAATTCTTTGTGTGAATTTTATTTTTTTTTTACTTGCAGAGTCATAATTTTCAAGTTATTAAA